GCGGCGACGTGCTTGCTTCTTGTCAACAAGAAATTAGAAATTTTTTTTTGCTGATGTTGTCGCCACTGCTGGAGACGGTGCTTGTCTTAAGTCAATCTCAACTTTTGTATTTTTTACTTAAATATTGTTTTTTACTGATATTTTTTTAAAATGGTATTGTGTGAAACACTGAAGGCTCGATCCTCCGTGTGAAGGTCACCTCACAATCACGGCGAGTGGTTAGACTTGCATACCTAGTCACTTGGTGTCTCAGCAGCCTGTGACACTGCCTATGACACTGCCTCTGTTCTGACACTGCCTGTGACACTGCCTCTGCTTTGACACTGCCTGTGACACTGCCTTGACACTGCCTGTGACACTCCCTGTGACACTGCCTGTGACACTGCCTGTGACACTGCCTATGACTCTGCATCTGAGACTTCCTCTGACACTTCCTCTGACACTTTCTATATGACAAATATGAATCTCAGCAATATTACGTATGTGGTAGTCACACTGTATCCATCCTGCAGGTGGTAGACATCCCATGCCTATTAGTGTAGGTGGCAGACACCCCATACCCATCCTGCTGGCGGCAGTCAGAGGACTTCAGAGGCCCAGGTATAAGGTTTTACTCTGTGTCCTACTATCACAAGACAGACAAGAGCAATGGAGGACTGTTGAGGTTCTGGAGTCATTATCATACAGGTAGAGAAATAACAAATCATTCCTTCTTTCCTCTAGGTTTTTTAGTTCTTGTATTCTATTAAACCACAAATGCATGTGTATGTGTGTGTGTGATTATACATACGTATATATATATATATATATATATAATTATATATATATATATATAATATATATATATATATTATATATATATATATATATATATATATATATATATATATATATATGGGAGATGTTAAGTGAATGTATAGATGCCTTTGAACCAAGTGAGAGAGTAATTGTGGTAGGGGACCTGAATGCTAAAGTAGGAGAAACTTTTAGAGAGGGTGTGGTAGGCAAGTTTGGGGTGCCAGGTGTAAATGATAATGGGAGCCCTTTGATTGAACTTTGTATAGAAAGGGGTTTAGTTATAGGTAATACATATTTTAAGAAAAAGAGGATAAATAATTATACAAGATATGATGTAGGGCGAAATGACAGTAGTTTGTTGGATTATGTATTGGTAGATAAAAGACTGTTGAGTAGACTTCAGGATGTACATGTTTATAGAGGGGCCACAGATATATCAGATCACTTTCTAGTTGTAGCTACACTGAGAGTAAAAGGTAGATGGGATACAAGGAGAATAGAAGCATCAGGGAAGAGAGAGGTGAAGGTTTATAAACTAAAAGAGGAGGCAGTTAGGGTAAGATATAAGCAGCTATTGGAGGATAGATGGGCTAATGAGAGCATAGGCAATGGGGTCGAAGAGGTATGGGGTAGGTTTAAAAATGTAGTGTTAGAGTGTTCAGCAGAAGTTTGTGGTTACAGGAAAGTGGGTGCGGGAGGGAAGAGGAGCGATTGGTGGAATGATGATGTGAAGAGAGTAGTAAGGGAGAAAAAAGTTAGCATATGAGAAGTTTTTACAAAGTAGAAGTGATGCAAGGAGGGAAGAGTATATGGAGAAAAAGAGAGAGGTTAAGAGAGTGGTGAAGCAATGTAAAAAGAGAGCAAATGAGAGAGTGGGTGAGATGTTATCAACAAATTTTGTTTAAAAAATTTGAAACAGTTTTGGAGTGAGATTAACAAGTTAAGAAAGTCTAGAGAACAAATGGATTTGTCAGTTAAAAATAGGAGAGGAGAGTTATTAAATGGAGAGTTAGAGGTATTGGGAAGATGGAGGGAATATTTTGAGGAATTGTTAAATGTTGATGAAGATAGGGAAGCTGTGATTTCGTGTATAGGGCAAGGAGGAACAACATCTTGTAGGAGTGAGGAAGAGCCAGTTGTGAGTGTGGGGGAAGTTCGTGAGGCAGTAGGTAAAATGAAAGGGGGTAAGGCAGCCGGGATTGATGGGATAAAGATAGAAATGTTAAAAGCAGGTGGGGATGTAGTTTTGGAGTGGTTGGTGCAATTATTTAATAAATGTATGGAAGAGGGTAAGGTACCTAGGGATTGGCAGAGAGCATGCATAGTTCCTTTGTATAAAGGCAAAGGGGATAAAAGAGAGTGCAAAAATTATAGGGGGATAAGTCTGTTGAGTATACCTGGCAAAGTGTAAGGTAGAGTTATTATTGAAAGAATTAAGAGTAAGACGGAGAATAGGATAGCAGATGAACAAGGAGGCTTTAGGAAAGGTAGGGGGTGTGTGGACCAGATGTTTACAGTGAAACATATAAGTGAACAGTATTTAGATAAGGCTAAAGAGGTCTTTGTGGCATTTATGGATTTGGAAAAGGCGTATGACAGGGTGGATAGGGGGGCAATGTGGCAGATGTTGCAGGTGTATGGTGTAGGAGGTAGGTTACTGAAAGCAGTGAAGAGTTTTTACGAGGATAGTGAGGCTCAAGTTAGAGTATGTAGGAAAGAGGGAGATTATTTCCCAGTAAAAGTAGGCCTTAGACAAGAATGTGTGATGTCACCGTGGTTGTTTAATATATTTATAGATGGGGTTGTAAGAGAAGTAAATTCGAGGGTCTTGGCAAGAGGCGTGGAGTTAAAAGATAAAGAATCACACATAAAGTGGGAGTTGTCACAGTTGCTCTTTGCTGATGACACTGTGCTCTTGGGAGATTCTGAAGAGAAGTTGCAGAGATTGGTGGATGAATTTGGTAGGGTGTGCAAAAGAAGAAAATTGAAAGTGAATACAGGAAAAGAGTAAGGTTATGAGGATAACAAAAGATTAGGTGATGAAAGATTGGATATCAGATTGGAGGGAGAGAGTATGGAGGAGGTGAATGTATTCAGATATTTGGGAGTGGACGTGTCAGCGGATGGGTCTATGAAAGATGAGGTGAATCATAGAATTGATGAGGGGAAAAGGGTGAGTGGTGCACTTAGGAGTCTGTGGAGACAAAGAACTTTGTCCTTGGAGGCAAAGAGGGGAATGTATGAGAGTATAGTTTTACCAACGCTCTTATATGGGTGTGAAGCATGGGTGATGAATGTTGCAGCGAGGAGAAGGCTGGAGGCAGTGGAGATGTCATGTCTGAGAGCAATGTGTGGTGTGAATATAATGCAGAGAATTCGTAGTTTGGAAGTTAGGAGGAGGTGCGGGATTACCAAAACTGTTGTCCAGAGGGCTGAGGAAGGGTTGTTGAGGTGGTTCGGACATGTGGAGAGAATGGAGCGAAACAGAATAACTTCAAGAGTGTATCAGTCTGTAGTGGAAGGAAGGCGGGGTAGGGGTCGGCCTAGGAAAGGTTGGAGGGAGGGGTGTAAAGGAGGTTTTGTGTGCGAGGGGCTTGGACTTCCAGCAGGCATGCGTGAGCGTGTTTGATAGGAGTGAATGGAGACAAATGGTTTTTAATACTCGACGTGCTGTTGGAGTGTGAGCAAAGTAACATTTATGAAGGGGTTCAGGGAAACCGGCAGGCCGGACTTGAGTCCTGGAGATGGGAAGTACAGTGCCTGCACTCTGAAGGAGGGGTGTTAATGTTGCAGTTTAAAAACTGTAGTGTAAAGCACCCTTCTGGCAAGACAGTGATGGAGTGAATGATGGTGAAAGTTTTTCTTTTTCGGGCCACCCTGCCTTGGTGGGAATCGGTCAGTGTGATAATAATAAAAAATAAAATATAAAGAAATTCTGTTTGTTGTTAGGGATCCATTAGGGTTCCTTCCACTTTGTTTACTATGAGAAGCGAGTAGAAGTCACGCACTGTGTTGGGAGAACAGAATACTCGTTAGAGAGAGAGAGAGAGAGTAGAGAGGAGAGAGAGAGAGAGAAGAGAGAGAGAGAGAGAGAGAGAGGAGAGAGAGAGGAGAGAGAGGAAAGAGGAGGGAGAGAGAGGAGAGAGAGAGAGAGAGAGATGAGAGAGAGAGAGAAGGAGAGAGAGAGCGAGAGAGAGAGAGAGAGAGAGAGAGAGAGAGAGAGAGAGAGAGAGAGAGAGAGAGAGAGAGAGAGAGAAAGGGGGATGCTGACCCCTGCATCGTCTTCTTTATACCCCAGTGAACGTGAGACAAGGAGCAAAATACAATCCTGATTTAGGCACCGAGACAAGAATTTCCGATCAAATCTCCGACTTACACTATCTTTCGTGAGCTTTACCAGTTCACGAAAGTGCTCGATTTCTGTGAAACATCTCCGGAAAATAAAGGCTTTTCCTCAATTAGGTGTCTTTATAACTCTATGACTGTGCTTCAAAGTGCAAAGCAGGAGTCAGAGGCAGGTAAGGTAGAGATGACAAGGCCGAGAGAAGCTTGGATGGAGAACCTGAGATGGAGAACAAGGATGGATAACAAGAGATAAAGAACAACTGATAGAGAACCATGGATGGAGAACAATATCTGGGTAAGGGATGGAGAATGGAGAACAATATCTGTAGAAGGGATGGAGAATGGAGAACAAGAGATAGAGAACAAAGGATGGAGAAGAAGAGATGGAGAACAAGAGATGGAGAAGAGATGGACAACAAGAGATGGACAACACGTGATAGATATAGATGGATGTAGATATGGAGACCATGGGAAAGAGAACTAGATATAGAGAGGAAGGGAGACAAAAAGATGGATACCGAATAAGGCCAGGCTAGATGCAGAATAATTCGTCTGACAGGAGAAGTTGATTCAGCTGGAAGGCCTCACTCTAAGACCTGAGGTCCCACCCGTCTCCTGGGAGCCTCTTTCGCTTTCATCTCATCAGATATACATATATATATATATTTATATATATATTATATTATATATATATATATATATATATATATATATATATATATATATATATATATATATTTGATTGATTGATTGATTGATTAATTGATGCTTAAGTAGAAGGGGTAGCCACGCAGAGTAAGATGAATGAAGAAATTTTGATTGCTAGTTGACACGTATGGCAACAAATCAGTACTTACAGTTTTCCAATCTCCGACCCAGCAAACGCCTCCTTCTCCACACTCTCGATGAGATTGTAATTGAGTGATCTGCAGGCGGCGAAGACAATGGTATTAGTAACATGTTTTATTTCTATTTCTATCTTTCCATTTATAGCACTCGCTTTTCCTCACCCACCACCGGAATGGCAGAGGTCAGGAACGTCAGCAAGCTCCCCTCGACCTCACCCTGAGTGGAAGGTGTCAGAGGGATCACCAGACCACATTCTTCCTCCACAAACGAATCAGTGTTTACCTTCCTTTTACACACATGCTATTAAAGTCTCCTTTCATCTTGCTCTCGGCTTCCCTCTTCCTCTCTTCACTCACTCACATTTACACTCGCTCTTCATCAACGTGTATTTAATCATCCATCTTTTTTAAATGGTCAAAGTGTGTTAATGTTCATACATTATTATTAAGAATATAACTAATGAAAATGCAAGAATGCCTAAGATGGGTCCAGTGTGCCGAACTATCAAGAATAGTGCAGAGTTTTACTGGGACACCGTATCCCTCTGTACAAGATGTCATTGACTTTACACATAGATAAACGTTGTTTCAATAAATGCATCTTCTGCACCGTCTGTCTTTACTGAAATAATGCCAAAAATTAGCCGTTTTAACAAGTGTGACGAGATGTACGCTGATGTGGGGTTATTTGAAAAAAATCAATAAAAATCAGTGAAACTCATTTTAAAATCAGACAAGAATGAACGCAAGCAGGGATAAAAGGTACAAAAAACACGAACAAATATTTACAGTTGTTCCACTCTGACTTTGAGGGATTTGCTGTGAACCTTCCTGATGCGGTTATTGTCCAGGTCTCTGTGGAAATGGGAAACATGATGTTATGTTAATACAATACTCGTCAACACACGCTACGAGAAATACCTTACATCCAGGAACTGTGATTCGAGAACACTTTATTTACACCCACAGAATCTCTTCCTAGAATAATTTTTTTTACACCCACGGTCATTATTCCCAGAACACTGTCTTGTTTACATCCACTGTCTCTATTTCCTGAACAATTAGGGGATGAAAAGACAGCCACTGCAGCAAAAGCCTTAATTATAGCAACCTTTCGCTGGAGAAGAATATTGTCAGGTTGTCCAGCTGCCCTTAAGCGAAACGTTCTCAAATAGAGGCTTATAACGTTTTAATTAAGTGTTATTTTCGTCCCCTTACAGAACATTGCTCTTTTTTTTAGAATGTATTCATCAGTTGCTTGGAATGTCTCCTGATCTAATGTCTCCTAATATAGTTCAACCTTACCAATAAATAGTGAACTCTAACATAGTCTAATCTAAATTAAGTTAACGTAATCTAACATCTAAGGAAACGTAATTTAATTTAGACTACTCAACCATGGCTTAACATCTAGAAAACTCTCAAGCTTATAAACGTATATAGAGATCAGAAGTCAACTTACATCATGTTAAGAATGTCCAGAGGTCCAGTGAATTGCATGTCAGGGATCCTCTCCAGACCCGAGCTGGCCACGCGCCTCGAAGATCGCAAGAAGAAACTCAGGTTAGTAACAAGCTGCTCTAGTGAAAAAAAAATGGACTACACACGCACACACACACACACACACACCACTAATATCTATAGCCACCCATTTCTATGACTTCTTTCATTACATATATGAAAACCAACAGCAGCAGCACAACAAACCCACAGCATCACTCACAAACTCCTGAGGTTTTTATCGTTGACGGTGACTGTGAAGTTTGGCATCGTTCTCAGGTGAGGTGCAGAGTGTATGTATCTGTGTGAGGGAGACAAAAGTCGCTAAGTCTTCAGTACCGCTTACGAGATCATATAAACATTATACATACATACATACATACATAAATATATATATATTATTATATATATATATATATATATATATATATATATATATATATATATATATATATTATATATATATATGCAATAAGATCACAGTAAACAAGTGATTTTAAAATACGCAAAACAACCACTGCGAAAGAGTAGTGAAATTCCAAGCGCTTTCGTGACTACTCACATTGAACAAGGAACATAGTTCCTTGACAATGTGAGTAGTCACGAAAGCGCTTGGAATTTCACTACTCTTTCACAGTGGTTGTTTGATATATATATATATATATATATATATATATATATATATATATATATATATATATATATATATATATATAACAAGAGAAATTTCTTGACTTATTTATAGTTACTTCAGTGTAACAGCTATTTGAATGGTGGATACATTGCAGTACTTACATGGAACGAAGCTGGTAGAGTCCCTTGAAGGCTCCAGCTTCAATAGTACGAAGCTCAGGTACGTTCTCCAGCACTCTGAAACACAAGTGTCATAGCGTTATTATACTTTACACGAAGCTCTAGATTTATGCTGGATGCGAATTGTGACGGACGCTTGATCCTCCGTCCATTAAGCTACGTACCTGTGCTCACCTAATTCTACAGTTACATGAACAATTGACAGTCAGAACGAGACTTGATGCCATTGTCTGCTTGTTTCTGTTGGTCTTACTTTCATGGGTTCATTAAGTTATGGATTCACGGATTCAAGGATTCATTGCATATATAAATTCATGACCTCATGGATTTATGGTGTCTTGGACTCAAGGATTTTGAATTCATGATTTCAAATTCGATCTTGCCCTAAAATGTTGATTCTCACAGATTTGTTTTTAAATTTAGGACTAAAAGTAGTGTGAGTGCAGACCTCATATTATAGAGGTCATTTTAACGAATGGTTAAATCTCTCTTTTTCTCTCTCTCTCTCTTTCCTTTTTTCCTATCTTTTTCTCTCTCTCACAATGAAATAACTACCCGGTAAAGTGAAGGCAGAAGTAGTACTTCATTAAATTAAACCCAAGGTAGGAAAGCTCTTCTTTCTTTTTTTTTTTGCTTTCTTTATACTAAATTCTAAGACACAAAATTAGGGGGAAAATGCAGCATTCAGAACGATGTGGACAGGTTGGTAGTTTGGTCAGACACGTGGAAAATGACTTTTAATGCTGACAAAGATGTGCACAAGTGTCTGGCAACCAATTAGCCGAAACCGTAGAAGAAAATCACCTATAAATAATAGTAAGCAACGTTCTCACAAGTACCAAACAACTACTATCTGCTAACAGCAGCGTTAACAGAATGCTAGTTCTCACAGTTAAAGATTTCGAGGACACAACACCAGGTACCACAATGGTTGCCGAGAATACTCCTGTTAGACAGCACCTTGAATATGGTGTCCACTCTTGTTCTGGCAAACACTTAAAAAAGGGAAATAATGAAAAGGTACAGAGATGAGTTTTTAAACTCGGACCATCACTTAGAAATCGTATGGAGAAATACTCAGAGCACTTAATACTTTCTCTCCTTGGAGACGGAGACTACATGGAAATCTTATTAAAACCTCTAAGGCACTGAATAGTTTTGATACACTCAGACACGAAAAATATTTGAGGTGCAAAACGAATCAGTAACTCGAATTCTTGGAATGAAACTTTGAGGCAAAAGAGGCAATGCAAACGGGAATAAAGGTTTTTCATAATTGCCAAAACAAAGCACAATGAAATAAACAAATCGGTGAAGCCGAAAGCAAGAAACGTACTGTTATTTATAATCAACTGGAAGATTTCATTTTTCTCTCTCTCTCTCTCTCCTCTCTCTCCTCTCCTCTCTTTCTCTTCTCTCTCTCTTCTCATTTTCTTCTCTCTCACTCTCACTCTCTCTCTCTCCATCCATCCATTCCTTGGAACATTTTTCAATTTACATTTCAATCATTTCTCAGCACATCAAAGCGTCAATGTGACTAACTTTATTTATTGTAACGAGCTGTCAGTTCCTGCTCATGGTAAGTGGTTTACGTCAGCTGTCATCTGGGTGTCTTAAGCAGGCGCTGAGAGGGCGCTGAGAGAGGTTTTCAAGGACAAATTTCATTTTAGACTTCCCTTTCCTTTACATACGTCAAGCAGTGAACTCGCATTGCCATGACTCACCTGGGGCAAGTTAAGGTATTAGACAAGAGAGATAAAATGAGGAAGAAGTGAAGGCAAGGAGAGTCATTATATATATATATTATATATATATATATATATATATATATATATATATATTATATATATATATATATATATATATATATATATATTATATATCATACAACGAGCACGCCAGTGGTTAACGACATTGGCCGGTTATTTGCTAGAATTCCATCATTCCGGTGATTTGCTAACAAACGAGTTAGTATAACTTAGAAAGTTGTTAGTGTGAGAGTCATGCAGTAGACTTGCTTACATTTCGTGCAGAGTTTCCCTGTAGCGTGTGAAGGAGTCGTTACGGAGAGTCTCGATGCCTACTTCGTTGAGCGTGCTGTGGAGGTAAGAGGGAAGAGGTTAAACGTTACTCCTGTGGCAGGCGAAGCTGGTGAGTAAATGTGCAACAACAACAGTGTAGGAATCAGTGGTCGGTATAGAAGGCAGTGGTCAATATATTAGTAAGTAATTAATATAGGAGTGAAAGGACAATACAAGAGACAGTGGTCATTAAAAGCGGGGGTAAAGATGACTATATATATATATATATATTATATATTTTATATTATTTTTAGAGGGGAGAGAGAGTGGGGAGAGAGAAGAGAGAGGGAGAGAGAGAGAGAAGAGGAGAAGGAGGAGGAGATTTAGAGAGAGAGTGAGAAGAAGAGGAGAGAGAGAGAGTGGAGAGAGAGAGAGTGAGGAGAGAGAGAGAGAGAGAGAGGGGGAGGGGAAAGAGAGGGGGAAAAGAGAAAAAAGGAAGAGAGAAAAGAGGGGAGGAGAGAAAGAGGGGGGAGAGGAGAGGGGAGAAGAGGATGAGGGGAGAGAGAGGAGGAGAGAAGGGGAAAAAGACGGGAAAGCAGGCAGCGACGACGGGGAAGACAAACGAGAGAAAGAGAGAGGACCCCACACTTTGATGTCAGTCCACACAGGGGCCCCACAGCCGACACAGTCAAAACAGGGACTGAGGAATTTCGCCCCGAAAGCCGGTCAAAAACAGATGAAGAGATTTTCACCACCCCCGTAATCCATTTGTTCTCCAGGTGCTGGCCCTCACGCTGCAGGCCCCTGAAGGTACATTCCGAAGTCCCCCGGGGATGAGAACAGTGTTCTTGACTGGGGGGCTCTTTTGAAAAAAGGGTTTTTTTTTTGAAATTAAAAATTTTCTTTCCGGTTGAGAATTTCTGGTTTTTGGAAAGTTTTAATTTGAAACATATCCAAAATTAAATTTTTCAGTGTAGAGCCGGGGGGAGAAAAGAGAAGGAGAGCAGGAGAGAGCAGAGTTTAGAGCAAAATTTAAGCAAACCCGAGAGCACAGCAAGAGAGAAAACACAGGGGGGCCAGCGCAGCAGCATTAGCAGCACAGCAGCCAGCACAAGCTCCAGCAGCAGCAGCATAGCGCAGCACAGCAGCCGCAGAAAACAGCGCAGCAGGCTGCAGCAGCACAGCATCACACAGCAGACAGCAGCAGCAGCGCAGCACCCTCAGAAAGCAGCATCCCCAGCCGCATCAGCGCCCAGAAGCAGCTAGCAGCCGCACCCAAAGCACGCACCCAGCAGCAGCAGCCCCCGGGCAGCAGCAGCAGCGAAACACCCAGTAAGTTTAAAGGTAAAATTTGTAATAGTAGTAGTACTATACAAATAATAAAAAAAGCAGTAGAGAAAAGGGGGTTATCAAATTGTTAAAAACCAAGAGCAAATGTTTCCCCTGAAAACACTCCACTTTTAATGAGTGAGGACTCAGAAAAACATTGAAAATTTTCCAATATGTTAACAGGGTCCCCCCTTTAAAAAAACCAACGGAAATATTCTCTTTTTTTAAATTTCCCGGGGAAACTATTTTTTTTGGGAAATTTTTAAATATTATATATATATATATTTTTAATATATATATTATATATAAAAATATATATATATATTATATATATATAATATAATTTTATATATAAATAATAGACATTAATTTTTTTTCCCTTAAGCCCCCTCGAATCTCATTGACAGTAGTAACTTTGATTGCTTTGCCGGACTGTCGAAATTTTGCATTATCTCATAAAAATAATTTTTTTTTTTAAGTGAACGATGTTCTAATTCCTTTTCATAACTTTGTATCTGCCTATCCGAACACACCCTTTTATGTGAAGTTAAGGATGGGGGTCAAGACATGGGATTATTATACCTATACTGCTTCACCAGAGGGTCGCAATGCTGGACAGTCTGTATTTCTGTCTTATGCTTATGTGAGCCCAAGAAATTAATTATGCATACTCGGCATACACTGTCCAGTTTATATTGCAACTAACAGTGTTCGGAATATTATTCAGTGATCCTCGTAGGAGTCAGTAGCGGTCAGTATTGGATTTAGTGGTCAGTATATGAGTCAATGGTCAGTATATGAGTCAGTGGTTGGTATACGAGTCAGTGGTTGGTATAGGATACAGTGGTCAATATATGAGTTTATGGTCAATATATAAGTCAATGGTCAATATGAGTCTGTGGTCAATATAGGATTCAATGGTCAATATACGAGTCAGTGGCGAACATGGAAGTCAGTGGCGAATACACAGAGTCAGAAACACTTTCCACCTGACGTAACCCATTCAACTGATCCACTCTCTGTTTCTCTCTCTCTCTCTCTCTCTCTCTCTCTCTCTCTCTCTCTCTCTCTCTCTCTCTCTCTCTCTCTCTCTCTCTCTCTCTCTCTCTCTCTCTCTCTCGCTCTCAGGAGCTCATATTCACGTCTAGTGTGTGTATCTATCTGAAACAATCACAGCCATCCTCTCGTGTACACACGCGAGGATGGCTGTGATTGTCATTGCCCCGTGTGTACACACCAGCTACACATGCTGTAAATACTCTTTAATGTACGTTAATGAAAACATCCGGAGACCTTTAAGCACAATGCCCCTGGATATTTTCTTTCCGGTAGTTAAACCCAGGGTTTCACCAAAATGGTTTCTGATCCCGGCACATTCGGCTGGTTAACTCGTTTAGTCTCAGCACCCGGAAGTTACGCGGGGAAAAAAGGTCATAAAATGCCGGTGGGCATTTTATAAAAAGGCCTAATCCCACGGGAGTGGAGCAGAGTCGCCTTTCAATCCACCAGAGTTAGCTAAGACAAGGTAGTATTTAGAAGAGTGTTTAAATTTCATTAGAGGTAATGCCAGGTACACTAGCGGGTGTTCGTTCACATGTTTAACAGGAAGATTTATAGGTGTTTTGAGTTGTGATGATTACTGGTATAACACTTCCCAATAATAATAATAATAATAATAATAATAATAATAATAATAATAATAATAATAATAATAATAATAATAATTATAATAATAATAATAATAATAATAATAATAATAAATGTGCCATATGTAACTTCAGAGTATACTGGGTTAATGTTTATATAAAGGAAGTCTGATATATTTAGGAAATTATTGAGAATTATAGATTCAAGCTGGAGGTCAGCGTTGTGATGAGAAATCTGCTTTTCAAGAAACATATAATGAAATAAAAAAGCTTTAGCGATATGTCATAAAGAATACTCCAGAATTGAGAAATACTGAGAGCCGATTGAGCAGGAGAAATAGCAAATTGGGAAAATAGGTAAAAATAAGTAAGGGGAGGGGAGGGGGGAAGTCTTCGAGCTGGCAACAGGGAAGAGAGGATCACTCAATTTTAGATTTCTGGAAAACAAGTATAAAATATTTTCCAGGATGTATTATTTAGCAAAAGGGAATTCAAAAGGTAACCTGCGAGCACTGATGGACATGATCATTTATTTCTCTGTCCCCTTAACTACAAATAGTAAATACTGATGGCCTGCAAATAGGCACTCATATACAAGTAAATACTCTCTCTCTCCCACACACACACACATACACATTTCAATAATACAAACTCGAAGTTCCATATATCGACACATGTTTGTAACCATCCACAAAATTTGCCATCAGACTTTAATGGAGAGGTCCATCACGGTAGCACATCTCACTGGGGAGTAGAACCCAGCCACTGGAAACTAGCAGAGTTTTTAATTCGATGCCGAAGTTGAGAGGGCGTGAGTGTAGGGAGGAGAAGAGAGAGAAAGGTAGAAGAGTCATAATGAAATAATTGGGAGGGGAGAATAATGAGGGGAAAATAATCAGTAATGAAAGTGGGAGAACAGAAGGAGAGAGTGGTAGCAGGGTAATTATATATTATGGGGTAGCTGGGAAACTCATAGCATTAAATGAAGGAGAGAGAGAGAGAGAGAGAGAGAGAGAGAGAGAGAGAGAGAGAGAGAGAGAGAAAGAGAGAGTTGCAATTAGAGGATAGATTGGGAAAGATCGAAGGGGCGCCCCCCTCCCACGTAGGTGAAACCTGGAGTGTAATATCCATAGACTTTATGCATTGGTTCCGTTGTTGTTGGTCATTAGAGAATGTGGTTCATGGCTTATTGACATCTTGGCTTATTGATGTCATGGCTTATTGCAACACTCGCTGAAGATAAACTGGGCTTAATGAAACATTAATCTATATTACTATATTATTCTTCTTCTCTAATGCTATTATTGGAGTCGGCTAATTGGTATCCAAAAGATTTGTACCATCATAGATTGTGTTGGTAACGAGACGTACTAACATGTTCTCAAGCAGAAAACTTTGTTATTTACATAAAAGATTTCTTTATTTCCTTTCAAATGGGCTGCTTTAATAAGAGTAAATATTTTAATAATAATAATAATAATAATAATAATAATAATAATAATAATAATAATAATAATAATAATGGTAATAACAGTGGAAATACAAATATTTATAACATATGGAGAACTTATTAACGACTTCCCTTCCCGTTATCTTTTTTTCTCTTAAGTAAAAGGACACAAATGTAACTAATGTGACATTTTATTGTGGCAACGTTTCGCTCTCCAGGAGCTTTGTCAAGCTGTTACGGCTTGACGAAGCTCCTGGAGAGCGAAACTTTGCCACAATAAAATGTCACACTACTTGCATTTGTGTCCTTCTACTTAATATATTGTCAGTAATTCTACCAATATTAATGCAATCTTTCTTTCTATATTCTTCCCTCCTCTCATTTACACTTACCCTTTTCCTCAAAACTCTTTCCTTTCTTTCCTCTCAGCTTCCACCTCTTCATCCTAACCCATTTTACACCTGACACATTTTTACTGCTCGGGAAATTATCAGCATTGCCTGGGACACTAGTAGCCCCAGATGCGCCATATGGGCTCATGTATGGTGTGTGTGTGTGTCTATAACGTCTCTTTGAAGAACTCACACATCATGCTGTTCGCCAGCTGATGTGGTGAGACCGGAAGCTTCCTCCGATGTTTGGGTTCAGAGT